ATATAATAATATGTATCAATATCTTAGATCTATATTTCTTTTACAAAAGTAAGTTTCCAATGGTAGAACGGAAACGGTAATTTTTGATTGTGAAATACATGCACCATCTGTCTGGTTCCAGTAACAGTTTATCACTGAGTGCTTCCTCAGTTGTTGTTCGTTATTGCAAGTTATTTTTCTTTTTTGTGGGGGGTGGGAGGGTGAGGGGGGGAATCACTAGTCATTCCAAAGTTTCAGTAAATATAGAAAACACATAAATTAACATACCTCAGCAGCACAAAACAAAAAGGAATAACCAAAGGTGGTGGGGCAGGAGTACTCAGCAATATAATGCCGATCTCCATGAGACACTTGGGATCTTGGTGCAATAGAGAATGCTGTTGCAACAAGTGTTCTCTGTACCACTGATCGTGTGCCAGCATCAACTGGAACGTTTACCTACAAAACCAGAATGTGAAAATATCAAAATATAAAGATAATAACCATAAACAGATTTGTGATTATAGATTTCTAAATTGACATGAAGGCCTGCATCTGATATACTCATGTGAAGAATATACTAACAATATTTCTATCTATCTATTCTTGCTACCTACAACTGTAATAGTCAGACCTTATTATTTTATTTGTATGTATACAAAATTAGGAGTATATGACAAAAACAAACAAACTAACTTACCAGTGCATAAAATTCTTGCAAGTTGATATACCCATCATTATTATAGTCTACATGGTATAAACATACTGTCAACCATGTCATCTGTTAAGGGAACATCACTGACGGGTGTATTAAGCAAGTATTTCTTCAGTTCTGAACGCAAGATGTAGCCATCACCATCGCTATCAATCTATTGGAAGAGACAATGATTAAAGAAGTCATTTACATACAGAAAAAAATCATATGCATTAAAGTTTTTTTTTGTAAGAATACATAATAAATATAATACATAATGTCAACTATACAAGTTCGAAGAAGAAAATTCTAAAATAGTTCTCATCCTTTTCTACAGTATAGAAAAGAGAGAGAGAGTGAGAGACAGACAGTGAAACAGACAGACAGAGAGTGACAGACAGACTGACAGATAGTGAGTGAATAGTGAAGTGAAGTGAGTGAGTGAGTGAGTGAGTGAGAGAGAGAAGAGAAAGAGAGACTGAGAGAGCAGAGAGAGAAGAGAGAAGAGAGAGAGTAGATGGATGCGAGAGAGACGAGATCGCACCATGAAGAGAGCAGGAAAGAGAGAGGGAGAGAAGACGAGAGAGAGGAAGAGAGAAGAGACAATAAAGAGTTAGATGAGACATAGAACCAGAGATGAGACAAGAACATAAGCCGAGACCCCGCAGAGAGAGGATCAGGAGAGAAGATCAACGCACGTGGGAATCAGCCAAAGAAAATAAAAAGAGAAACACAAGACAACTAACGCCAATAGTTAAGAGAAAAAAAAAAAAAGAAAAAAAGATAAAAGATTAATAATGGAGACAGAGAGGTACGAAGAGACAAAGATGAGACAGATTCAAAAAAAAAAAAGAAAAAAAATAACCAAAAAAAAAAAAATGAAAAAAGAGAAAAAAAAAGAGGAAAAAAGAACAATCAAATAAGAAAAAGAAAAGAGAAGTAATGATGAGATGGAATAAGAAAAAGATAAAGAAGAAAACAAGAGAATAAAAGAGAAAAGTAAAAGAAATAAATAAAAAGAGAGTAAGACTTGAAAAAGAGATTGAGAAAAAAACAAAAACTGAAGCAGAGAGAGGAAACTGCACGAGAAAGAAAAGAGAAAACAAAGAAGTAAAGAAGAAAGAGAGAAACAGAAAAAAAAGAAGAAAAGAGTGAAAGAAAAAAGAGAAAAGACAAAAGAAAAAAAAGAAGAGAAGAGAGAGAGAGGTACTGAAAAGAGAGAAGAAGAAGAAAAAATAAAAAACAAGAAACAAGAAAGAAAGATTGAGAGAGAAAAGAAAAGAAAGAAAAGAGGAAGAGAGAAAAAAGAGACTGAAAGAGAGAGACTGCAGAGAAGAAAAAGAGAGAAATGCAGGAGAGAGAAGGAGAACTGAAAGCAGAGGGGATATGAAAGAGTGACTGATGAGATCGGAGAGATGAATGAAGGAAAGAGGGGGGGAAGTTCCTGAGAGGACTGAAAGATTGAGACTGAAGATGATGAGAGATTGAGACTGAGAGACTGAGAGACGAGGACTTGATAGAGAGACTGAGAAGTGGAGCTGATGAGAGAGACATGAGAGACTGAGAGACTAGAGTACTGGAGAGACAATGTGAGAGCGACAGGAGAAGCAGAGAGAGGAGAGAGATACGAAGAGAGAGACGATGAGATGATAGAGATAGATCGAGGTGAGAGAAGGAGTGTCAGAGAGCAGAGAGAGAGAGAGAGAGACAGATGATATGATATGAATTGTCGAGAGATCGAAAGAGATAGACATAGAGACTGAGGAGAGTGACTGAGGGAGAGACGAGATTGAGGATCTGATAGCAGTACTAGAAAGATAGAGACTGAGAGAGAGAGAGAAGAGGATGACGAGAGAGAGAGAAGAGACTCGAGAGAACGAGAGAGAGAGAAGAGACATGTTAAGAGAGGAGAGAGAGAGAGAGACTACGAGAAAGAGAGAGATGAGGAAACTGAAGAAGAAAAGAAGAGTCAAAAGAGAAAAAGAGAAAAAAAAAAAAAAAAAAAAAAAGAACGTAAAAACTGAAGAAGAACTAGAGAGGAATTGAAAATATGCTCATAAAGAATGTTAAGATAAAGAGAGAGTAAGTATAGATTTAACTTAGAAAGTAATAATTAAAATTGAATAATAGAGTTGATATAAGTAAATAAAAATAAGCACTACGGCGCTCACTGAACTGGAACAGGTATCTAAGAAAAGCGAGGTGAGTAGAAGAATGGATTTAGAAGGAGAAAGAGACCTACCACCAACAACGGAGAGGATGGGAGATTCGGGAGGAGAATCGAGAGAGAAGATGAACCAGAGACTGGCAGGCATGCGCGTCGGGTACATAATATATGAAGTCACATGACAATTGCGAAGCTAATGGCCCTATGATGAAGCGAAGATGGAAATCTGGAAGCACTCTACAAAAGATTAGGACGACAAAAAAAAAAAAAAAAAGAAAAAATAAAAAGAAAAAAAAAAAAAAAAAAAAAAAAAGAAAAAAACAAAAAAAAAAAGAGAAAAAAAAAAGTAATAACAAAAAAGAAAACAGAAAATAGAAAAAAGAAAATAAAAAATAAAGAAAAAAAAAAATAACACATAACTAGAAAAAAAAAAAAAAACAAAAACAAACAAAAAAAGACAAAAAAAACGAAATAGAAAAAAAAAAAGTGAAATAATAAAAAAATCAAATGTAAACAAAAAGAAAACAAAAAAACAAGAAACGTATTGAGTGAACAAAACATTAAAACAATCAGAAAAGACAATAAAAAAAATAAAACAAAAAAATACAAAAAAAAAAAAAACAATAAGAGAAAAAAAAAAAAAAAAAAAAAAGAAAAAAAAATAGAACAACAAACAAGATAAAAAACTATAAAAAAAATCGCTAAGAGTTGAATAGCTTGAGATTCAAAAATCGATTCAGAGTGATCCGGTTATGTCTGATGAGGAAGGACTGACAAATGCAGGGAACCGAAGCTCTCCGGATTGAGAGACGAGAGGAGACAGCAGAGAGACCAGAGGACTCTCGAGCGAGATGACCGACGAAGCAGAGAGTCTGATGACACGTTTCTGAGTAAACCACTGAGGAAAGAGACGGAAAAATTAGATAAAGAAAGACAAAAAAAACTAATGAAAAGAACAAAAAAAAATTAAAAAATCGAAAGAAAAAAACAAAAAACTAGAAAAAAAAACAACAATACGAAATAAACACATCAGAGAAAATATAAATAAGATGCAAAACTGGAGAGATAAAACAAAAGGGACAAAATAACTAGAAGAAAAAGAAAAAAAGAGAAGAGAAATCGATACCTGAGACCATGTTAAAGATAGGAAGGAGCACCTCAAACCCTATCTTAAACCAGTAACCGAAATAACTGAAGACCAGCTCACTATATAACATGCAATTCCACGCACTGAGCTAGTCATCTGAAGAGACAGAGAGAATATGATCGACGACTGATGAGTACTGACTGACGACGAACGAGTGTAGCATGACGAGACTCTCAGAGACAAGAACGGAGAGGATTTGAATAATGAGAGCGATGCAGACGTAGGAAGTGAGCACGGGGCCTGAGAGGAGAGGCAGAGAGAGAGGAGGAGAGTGAGGAGGACTGCAGGAGAGAAGGAGAGACGAGAAGAGAATTTGAGGAGAGAGAGAAGAGAAGCAGCGATACTAATCAGTACCCTCTCGAGATTTCATGCCCAATTGGATATGCTCATATTTTTCCTTATTTCTCACGTCTTCCAGATATGTATGTATATCTCTTGTTACCTTTCTTGTATGAAATAATAACCTTTCTTTGCCTAATTTTAAAATTTCAAGAATGCATATTTTCTTTTCATTTTTGTTATATCATTTCCTATTTGGTTTTGACACCATCACAGAACCACTTGTGTATGTCTCTTACAACATTGACAAGCTCCAGATTAATTAGTTTTTTATCAAATTCATGCTCTTTCCTTTATGGTATAAAATATAAAACAATGTGCATTATTTCAAATTATCATAATGGTACACTTTAGTTGAAAGGAATCATTCTCAGTTTAAAATTCTGTTAAATACAGCAGCACATTTGTGGATTACCCCATTGGTACCTTGTCTAAACCCCAAGTGGATTCTTTCTACATATCTGCTTCCAATCGTTTTGTTTAATTTTCTCCCAATAATTTATGCCCATTCTGGTAACATAACCTAGAGTTTCGTAGAGAGAAGGAAGCAATGCCTGAAAGAATCATAAATATTCCATGTACTATTCCCTCAGTCATAATAAAAATACATATTAGAAACATGTTTACTTCAGGGAACATGTTCAGTCAAAGATTTGATAGCATACACAAAATGAAATTAAATAAAATAAGATAAAATACGATAAGACAAGATAAGCTAAGATGAGACAAAGTGAGGTTATGAAAACGAGTGGCAATTGCAGCTATCGACAGGGTAAAGCCTCCTTACTCTATACCTTCACTAAGTGCTTTTCCTGATGAAATATGGCTTCGAAAAAAACAAGAGAAAAAAACAAACAAAAAAAACATAAAAGTATGTGTTATTCATAACTTCTATAGCAGATTTATTGGGATGTGTTACTCAGAGTGGTTAATGTTACCAGCAGCGAATTTCTTTTATTTCATAGTAAATATGAGGCTGCAACAGCTGTACCTGTGTTGTTAATGGCTCTTATTTCCATTTCCCTCTATCTCTATTCATTTACGTACAGCACCTTAGGGAAGCATTTGCACAGATATTGCCATAGAAGAAGTGTCTTGGTTTGTATCAGTCTATCGAATTATGTAGGTTTTATCTCCCAACTCAGGCACTACCTCATTCTGCATATAGTCCGTTTCATTCCCATGATTGTCAAAATCATCAAAAAACACCATTTCTAAGGAGGAACTTCAATGCATTATCAAAGTTTGCCTCAAACCTTTGCCATCCTGCTCAGTTCTAGAGATTATGGTATACACTTTAATATGTTCACCTAGGACTCACCTATGATTATATACATATATGTGTTTTTCATGTTTTCCAGGGTCATAGCAATCTTAAATGCACATGTAAGAGGATTATTTTGAGTGAATAACCACAAGTTTTGAGGCTTTTTTCTAACTACAAACTAATATACCTGTCAGATGGCAAGACTATCGATTGCTCAGCATTATTCAGTAAATGCAGCATATATTTCAATAAAATTTCCC